GTGTGTGTGTGTGTGTGTGTGTGTGTGTGTGTGTGTGTGTGTGTGTGCGTGCAGCAGTGAGTTGTTCAACCCGTATTGCATCAACGACTGTGAATCCTGGTTCTGTGACGGCTCCAAGTGCACGGAGCCAGTCTGAACGCATGCAAGAATCTGAGTGTAAAATGCAATGTGTAAAATGGGTACAAATGTATTTCCCTCAGCAACACTGCTGTGGTGCAGAGCATTGTGCCTCGTTATTGTTGATATGTGGATGCAGCGGTGCCACATAAGGGGTATTTGTTATCTAATGGGTTTGAACGGGATTGTTGTGAGCTGCTGACTCTCAGAACACATTGAATCATAAGTACAGCCCAGCAGCATTAGTGCAATCCCTTTTGACCTCCCTCTGTCTGTGTGTGTGGGAGTGTGTGTGTGTGTGTGTGTCTGTGTGTAAGAGAGAGACACTGAGAATAATCATGGCTACCAGTCAGCGCTGGGAACAATCCAAGATGTTTTCAATTATACAATGGTTGAGGTGATTGCAGATATGCTGGAATCAGAGAACAGTCTGGAGACTTCTGGTTAAAGATGTGTCCACGGGTCTGAGCGTTAAGCCCAATTAGCATCTGTTAAAGCCAAGTGCAATGTGTCTGCACGTCACGTGAAAAGCCTCCCCTACAAAGCGCTGCTTTACTGCTAATCATATTGAAGACTTAGTGGGGAGAATCCGCTTTTTTTCTCCTCGGCTGGCCTTGCGAGCATTGTGGCACGCGTATGGCAAGCAATACCCAAACACACACACCCACGCAAACAAACGCACACAATGTCTTTTTGCTTCTTTTTTACTCTGAACTTTTTCTGCCATTGTGCTGTTTTGCTCCTTTTGAGGATTACTTCATGTCTGGTTTCAAGCAGCTGATCAGTATTTACTGCATCGGGTCTTGACTACAACAATAAAAGCATGACATTACGATTATTTACCATCAAGAAGGGCCGAAACAGTTAGTCGTTGAAGCTATTAGTCAATCGACAAAATGTAAAGGAGGTAAATTTGTCAAACCTTCTCTTCTTCCAGCTTCACATTTGTGAGGATTTGCTGATTTTCTTTGCCTTACGTGATAGTTAACTAAATATAATTGGCTTTAGTAATTCACAGAACCCAAGCAATTTAAAGGCATCAACCTGGATAAGTAATTAATGCTTTAGGTAATTAAAATGGATCAGCATTTCCAATCAAGGTTTACAAGAGTTAGAACAAACAGCTGTGGGAATTTAGAGGCAATAACAATAATGTTAAATAATATCAAACATTTAGTCCATTGGGTCAAATGTCAAATATACATATTCACAATATAACGTAGAAGATAAATTGAATAAGACTGTATTATTAGTTAAAGATAATATCACAGCTCTGAAGTCTGACATGGACGACCTCTGTCTGTATGCTGCATGTGATGCGCCCTGTTTTTTCGTGCCCTTGGGTTGTCGGAACTGATGCTAGTCAGATGGTCGGTACTCGATGATGGTAGGAGGCAGTCTGAGACCTCTGGCCTGATAAATCAGCTGCTGTTTCCAGTCTCTCACGGATCTCATGAGAGTGAAATGTTATTTTTCCTTCCTCGTCAAGGATCATTGAAGCCTCTTTGTCTCAGCCTCTCTTTGATCTTGCATCAATCATACACTCCCCTCTCATCCTCTTCAACCCCACTCCTCCAAATGTTACAAAGATTTCAGATATGTCAGGCTGAATTGTGAGAAATGTGTACAATGTTGCACAAGACATTTAAAATATTTGCATGCGATGGAAAGGTGCAGCCATTAAACATGGAGTCTTGGGTTTACATTTTTCTCTCAGTGTCATCGTTCAGCTTCAACAGCCTCAAAGCTACTTTATGTAAAATAAAATGGAACATATGGATAGTCAGGGCTTAATCTTCCCTCTGGGTTGGGTTAAGGGTCCTTGACGTGCTGTGCCTGTTCTTCAGAGCTGTGACGTCAGCTGCACCTCAAGGTGACAGAGCCCCAGAGAGCTGCCCTATCTCTCTGATAAAGACGGCTCCCCGCTTAGAGGGGACTGCGTATTGAATCATCCATCTCTTGGTTTTCTAAAGGGGCTGGTGGATAAAAAATATTAAGCTCCAACATTCAGTGGAATTTAGAAATGTTTAATTTAAGGTGGCCAACAGAATTTCAGACAGGGCTTTGTCATATGACAAAAATTGCTTTGTGCTCAACTGCCCCGTCCCAGAGGGTTCTCCTGGGAAATTAAATCTATATAAGTTCCAAGAAAAGGATTGGGAATCGCGTCTTTCATAAGTGATTGCACTTATGGTGTTTTTGATACACTAGACAGCCCCTGTGAATATGTCTCTTTGTTTTCTAGAAGTAAAGAGATAAGGAGATAATCCGTTGCCAACTTCAGTCAGCCTTAGGGAGAACATTTCTATCCATTGATAATCATTTGTCTGAATGCATTTATGTGTTTCCCTTCTGGGTTTGTGGTATAAATGGGTTTTAAAACATAATAAATCCACCCAGGAAGTCACTGACGGGTGGCTTATGCAACAGGGCATTTCATGGAAAACCAGGGTGTTGGTGTTGTGTGTGTGTGTGTGGAACAAGATGGAGGGGAATGAGATGGGGATTTTTGTGTTTGGAAAATGTCTCATGCCAAGAGATGCCAGGAGCGGGCTGAGCTGGAGGCCATAGAACAGGTTTTACTCTTCGTGATCACCTTCTGCCAATGACACAGTTGGTTTAAACGTTTCTTTTTTCACTCTCTAATTTCTCTTAGGTCATGGAGACCAAAGACATGCTGTACATTGTGACAGAGTATGCGAAGAACGGAGAAATGTTTGGTGAGTTCAGCTTTTCAAATATATATTTTCTGCTTTTAAAATGATTGTAGGCCGAATCTTGACTTGAACTAAAATATCCGCTATCTCTCCAGACCACCTGACCTCAAATGGCCGCATGAGTGAAGATGAGGCACGGAAGAAGTTTTGGCAGATTCTTACAGCCGTGGACTACTGCCATCGACACCACATCGTTCACCGTGACCTAAAAACCGAGAACCTGTTGCTGGATGCCAACATGAACATCAAACTGGCTGGTAGGTATGCTCATAAGCCGTTGTTGTTACAATGGTTAGTGGTTTGCCGGCAGGCAGGTGTTCTACAATGCCAGACAAAGTGTTAATGTTTCTTTTCCTGTGTACTTACAGACTTTGGATTTGGAAACTTCTACAATGCAAGGGAGCCTCTGTCGACATGGTGTGGCAGCCCGCCTTACGCTGCCCCTGAAGTGTTTGAAGGGAAAGAGTATGAGGGACCACAGCTGGACATTTGGGTAGGCTGGTAGAAGGAAAAAATACACCGAATTATTCAATCCAGCATTCGTTTTCTTCTTATGCTGATATTCTCCTTTTTGCTATTTTATTTACAGAGCCTGGGTGTGGTACTTTATGTTCTTGTCTGTGGCTCGCTTCCATTTGACGGACCCAGCCTTCCTGCACTCAGACAGAGAGTCACAGAGGGACGATTCAGAATCCCTTTCTTTATGTCTCAAGGTAAAATGGCAACTAAATTGTAAACAAAAAATACTGCTAATTACCAATTCTGTCTGAATTCAAAGTGCTCAGAATCCAAAACTCATTCTTCGATTTCGTCCTCCAGACTGTGAAAACCTGATCCGTAAGATGCTGGTGGTAGACCCAGCCAGGAGGATCAGCGTGGCCCAGATCAAGCAGCACCGCTGGATGCTGGCAGACCCAACAGCTGCCCACCAGACCCTTAGCCATTCCCTGACAGAGTACAACTCCAACCTGGGGGACTACAGTGAACCAGTGTTGGGCATCATGAACACACTGGGCATCAACCGCCAGAAGACTATCGAGGTGACTGAACGTGGTGTTTCAGGAGACTTATGTCTCAAGAATAGTTTATACTTAAGAGAGGCAAGACTGACCACATAGTTCGTATAGGGGAAGAGCTAAAGGAAGTTCTTTTCTTCTTCTCAGTCTCTACAGAGCAGCAGCTATAATCACTTCTCTGCTATCTACTACCTGCTGCTGGAGAGAGTGAGAGAGCATCGTACCCAGCAGCTGAGCCGCCAGTGTGGGACCTGGAGCCAGAGACCCAGGAGCACCTCCGACTCCACCGGCCCAGAGGTGAGAGCTTCAGCTGGGTGCACTGAGCTTAAAGTTACCTAAGCTCAGTACCTAGTCCTGATGTAACCTGCAGTTTCACACTTGAGGTCTAAAACCCGGTGTGCTTCCTGCTTGCTTCTAGGTGATCATGGAGTCCACCGACACCTTTAGAACCACAGCATTTTCAATTCCACCCAAAAGCACTCCTCCAGTGTACCCGGAGATGGAGTATGACCAAAGTGGATTGTTCCAGGTAAATAATGATTCAACTTGACAGCATTCGGCAGCTCAGAGGTTAGGAGACTTCACCCTCTGCCCTCATCTACTGATAGACCACAGGCAAATACTGCACCTGTCAATGAGTGGCTAACAGTCCAACTCCTTCTGGTTCAGCGTGTGGTGTTTCCAGTGGAGGCCAGTCTGAACAGACTGCTGTGGAACCGCTCCATTTCACCCAACAGCCTGCTGGAGACGAGCATCAGCGAAGAGGTGCGACCCAGAGACCTGGAGGAGGAGGAAGCAACACAAACTCACGGGCCTCTGCTCCCTCCCACCACCACCTCCCGCAGACACACCCTGGCCGAGGTGTCGGCCAGTTTCCACCAGTGCCACCCTCCATGTAAGTATGTTGTACAATAGCAATCAATCCACACTCTGTCACACGTACAGAGTCTCAATGTCTTCCCTGTTGTGTTTCTGTAGGTATTGTGGTCAGTCCCTCAGATGGTGCCTCTTCTGACGGCTGTCTGAAGACCTCATCCTGTCCAGCCCCCACTTTGCAGGCGTCTAGGGGTGAGATGTCAACACTTCTGGCCTCTTGGACTGAGAGTGGAGCTCTGCTGCCTGCTGGAGCTCCCCTGACCCTCTCCTCCCACCTCCTGCCCCAGGCCCAGGGCAGCCTGCCTGCTGCCAGCTTCCAGGAGGGCCGCAGAGCCTCTGACACCTCCCTCACACAAGGTACAGGAGCATGATCATGAAAATTCATCTTTTTTTTTTTTTTTTTTTTTTTTTTTTAAATAAGGTGTCACATTATCGGATCAAAGGAGGATTGTGTAACACTTTCCCATGTCTTTCCACAGGCCTCAAAGCTTTCCGCCAGCAGCTGAGGAAAAACACACGCACTAAAGGGCTCTTGGGATTAAATAAGATTAAAGGTCTGACGAGGCAGGTATTTCCTCCGCTCTCTAGTAACCGTGGCAGCCGAGGGTCCCTGGGTCCAGCTCTCTGCGAGCACCGCATCATGCTGGAGGAGGTGCTGCACCAGCAAAGGTGAGACACATGAAAATGATTACACAAAGGCATTCTGTTGTCTCGAATTTGTCTTAGGCAGCCCACAGCCCACAGAGAGTCTGATCTTCTGTGTCTGTTTTCCAGGATGCTACAGATCCAGCACCAACCCCAGCCTCAGGTCCAAGCTGTTCAGACAGGGCCTTCACAGAATCCCCTGCTCTTTCTGGCCCAGCATCAGTCCCCATCTCCTCCACCTACTACAGTGTTTGCTTCCCCCTCCATGTTTGACACGCCCACCCCTTCCACCCTGCCTTCTCAGCAAGCTTCGGTGGGTTTACAGCACGGCCCCTGGAAACAAACCCTCGAGACTTCCTCCTCCGGCTGCTCCTCATCCTCCTCATCCTGCTACGCTTCTTCTCTGTCCCCCGTGGCCTCCGCTGCTTACCTTCTCGAGGCTCGTCTGCACATCAGCCAGCAAACGCAACCTCGCCCCCACATCAGCCTCCAGCAGCAGTCCCAGTCTGCAACACACGGCACCTTGCCCATCATGTCTAAACCAGCAGGGTGGAGCAAGGGCTCGGCCTCCAGCACAGACCCTGAGGTGCAGGAGTTGGGTCTGGCTGCACAGCAGCAGCTCAGTAGCTGTGTGATGGTGAAGTAAAGCATCAGCCATTGAGACCAGCGATTGTTCTCTCTGTTGAAGAAAAAAAATCTTGATTTTTGAGCCGAGAAGAAAAGAGAGCAGAAGTGAGGAGAAAGAACAAAAAGCAGATGCAAGTGACAAATGTACACTTTATTTAACAACATGCGGTACACATATGAGAATGTGTCCACACACGTGTGTATGTCGTGTACACCTTTGATATCATATAAGCTAAAGACTAAGCAATAACCAAACTCTGGACAAGGCGTTGAACCAGTATCAGACAGCCAGAGAAGCAATAATAGACTGAAAGACTCTCATCAGCTCCCTTGAACTAAATGACAGCTGACGCTAGCCAGTACAGTTATTTCTCACATGTTTTCATTCTGTCTAAGTTAACTATTTGATTTTGTTGAATACAGGAAGGCTCCCTTTTCCTCATTATTTTTTAGACACTTCTTGTGTCATTTCCTGTTCTCGATGTTTTTCACTGGACTGGACAAAAGACCAAATTTCTTTTCATTTTTCCCACTTTGTTTGCCTTTTTAAAGAGATATTTCTCTGTAGCCGTGCAATGAACATGCAGTATATTGCCCTAAGCTTCACCGAAGGAGTTTATTTTCTATTGAAACTGTGATTTGTTTTTTGTTTTTTTTCGTTATTATAGCTACGCAAATGCTACTTTTACCTCAAGTCACAAAAACACTGCTCCATCCTTATCAGCCAAAAATGAAGGAAGATGGTGTCTGGCTGATTGAGTAAAGCACAACAGGTACATCACCTTACATATGTGGATACAAAGACCATCTTGTTAGATGCTTTCACTACCTCCGCAGGCAAGAAAAAAACAAAACCTAACGAAAAGTTGTCAATCCCAGAATGTCAGAGGAACAACAGTTTTCATGTGCACAGAACAATGACTGTGGGAACAGTGCAATATTTCACATTGAAATACAGACGAAGGATGAGGCTCTGCATAGGATCGTCAAAATGTACATATGCCTGAGGTTTTTTCTGTTACTTTTCATTTGTCTGTTCGCTGTGCTAGCTAGCTGACTAGAACAAGTACTAGTTATGTAACATAATAACATGATACTGTAGAATTGATAGAGAACAACTCAAGGCATTTCAAAATGCTGTTTCTTCACACAGTTTAGCTTGTAGTTCTTTAACTGAAAGGAAGAATATGGGTTTTACCAAAGAGTGAACAGCACAAGAGATGGGTGATCTATCACAGACACTACTGACTTTTCACTTTGAATGCTGTCTCAAAATGTAGCATGGTGGTTAGCGCGCATATATTTCACATGATCTCCTAAGCTTTAGCTTTGAGAAAACTCCTGCGTCCATCAAATCCAAATGCTACACATATTGTTAATATTTCTAGCTTTCACTATCAGGACCATGGTGGTATTCCTTTTTTGTACTTTTCTAGAAAAGAAGAAAAAAAAGAAGAAAAAAAAAATCAGAACATAGCAATACCATGTTGTGCTTGAACTTGAACTTTCTTCAGTTGTCTATAAGTAGAAATGATCTGCAACAAGCTGGTTTATTTGTGAGCTCAATTAGTTCTCTTTTATCTGAACTTGTTGAAGAGCAGTGTTTTTCCAAACCCAGTTCTGCGTTGGAAACATGCAGTGTTAATATTTTTTTTATTTTTGGTTGATTGCACTCACTACCAACACTTGCCTTTGAACAAACTCACGATCAGAGGTTTGACATCTCCTATCGCTACGCAGAAGAAAGAGAGTCGAAATGCTCCGTTAATGAACCTTTTTGATATCTACTCTGACCTCTCCCTCTCTTCTCTCAATCTGACCTTTCAACTTGCTGTGGAGACAGAAGCAAGAATTGCACTTTATTCAAATTTTTTTTGTTTCTCATGATGAAAAAACTCCACAAAACAATTGAAACACACTTGATGCAAATGTGTAAGATGACCCTTTTTGATAAACTATTTCTTTTTTCTTCTTTTCTGATTTGTTACTTGATTGTGTGAGCATGTGCATGTATGTGAGTGTGAGTGTGTGAAGGGAGGAAGGAAAGGAAAGGAAGAGAGAATGTTAGTTCAAGAAAGATTGTTTATTTATGTGGCTATTTATTTAAATAAAGTTCACTTCCTAAACTGTCCATTTGAATGTGGATATATTTACTGACATAGACATACTGACATGTTAACTGTAGATAACTTTACTCGACTTTAACAACTCTTACAACTTTTCACATGCATTTTTATCCATTTGTTTACAGTTGACAGGATTGTGAAGAATCATCACAACTGCAGAAATACATTTAATATTTTTATATGCAGAAAACTGCAGAAACAAATTATGTTTTATATGTATGTTTAGAGTTTTAATCTTTGCATTTCTATCCTCAATCTTTTTTCTGAATCGCATTTTTACTCTCATACATATTAGTTTCTTTATTGCACAGTCATCTTTTAGCACAGCCTTATGCGTCTGCGTTTGCCTGCAAATATTAAATAAGAATGTGACAAATAAAACCTTTAAATCGAATGATCCATATGGTAAACTAATATAAGTTTAGTCTGCAGCACGTCTATAATAGTGATGCTGTCTGTTACTGGTAATCATCAGTAACAATAAAGACAACTAGTAATAAATCTGGTGCAACCAAACTTCATGGTGTATTCTCAAATACTGTTTTATTTACCATATAATCATTGGATAGCAGCTTGATTAAGAGGTGTACTATTTTATCCAGATTTTATGATTAATCTATAAATAACTAAAACTACGAACCATACAGAAGCAGAAAATATTGCTGGATATTGTAGAAATGGGTGCAAAACCTTTTTTATTAAGCCTCATCCTCTTCCACTGATGACGTGGCACACTGATGACGCACTGGCACCCTGTGAGAATGCTGTGATGCAGATTGATGATGCATTGGACCCCAACGACCCTCTTGCTGGTCATAAAACTCAGAATGGACAGGTGTCTGACATTCGACAGGAAAGGCTATGAGGGAGTCAAGCAAAGTGAGAAGCCAAACCATCCGTGAGCCAAGTGAACTCTGCTGCTCTCCTCTTTGCTGCCGGCTTGTTATCTCAGGAGAAAGAAAAGAAACTCCATTTAAATTCCTGCAGGAGAACTGCATGTTCCAAACTTACATGTGTTGATTTGCAGATTTACACTGTGGGGGGCCACTTCACTGATACATACCCGCTCACACACATTTAACATATGACTTGACATTTGGCATATGACCCTCGGGCAGCTGCTCCCGAGGATTCGGCGCTAACAGAACGCCATACATTTTACATGCAGTCACCGCAAACACATCAGTCATCAGCGACTGCCTGCTGCGGACATGACCTTGTATTAACTGACAAGCATTCTGTAACATGCTCTCAACAACACTGTGTGACCATCTGGTTAATAGATGTACGCACGTGTGTTGCTGTTGTCGCATAATTCATGTATGAAATTCAGCTCGGAGTGTTGACATTAAACAGAAAAACACAGTAATATTTTTGTTCTTTTCAATAACTGGAAGCCACTGCAGGTGCAGAACTTAAACGATTGATTTACTGTTAATTGTCTATTTTGTCGTTATTTGTTTATTTCCAAAATTCAAATGCCCAGTTTCCATCAACCTCAATAGGAAGCAACGGCAGACTCCAAGGAAACATTGCAGGTTGTTGAGCTGGACTCTTAAGTTGGCTGGACCGATATATCAGCTGGTAATAGCATATCGCAGACAATTCAGTTTAGGTTAACAGAGAATACTGTACATGGACCGATAAGTGATAACAAATGCCAAATATACAGTATGTGTGAGGTAACTTATTAGGTAACTACATAATATGGTCACAATTTTATTGTAGGCCAATATATTGACCGATTTTGATAACGGTGTCTCCCTTAAAATGTCTGTCTCTTTCAGTTATTACATTTCACAGAAGAGCTTTTTCAAAAGCTGAGAAAGGTGAGCTGTGAGCTGAAACCAGGTATGATGTTCACTTTTTATTTCCACTCACACCTAAAACTCCAGGAAGTTTTTTTTCCACACCCATGTATGTAAACAGTTAGTAGCACTGTTAGGTATAACAGGAGCTGAGCTCTTATATTTGCTTTGGTAAAAACTATGGCAGCAGCTTTGTGAATGCGTTTATAGGTGTAGTTTTTACTTGTGCTACCACATTTGGTGTTCTAATTAGTGCTGCCCCCTCTTAATAGAGACAACAAAGATTTATTTGGTCAATTTGTTATGCTTTTTTTTTGTGAGTATTTATAGCCGCAGGGCAGTGTATCTGGGATTATATTAAAATACACTACATTCTTCATTGTAATGACGGAATATGGTCTCAGTGTGCAGCTCATTGATTTTAAGGTACTTCAGGCTTTGGATACACAGACAATATTTGTTAGTGGAGTGAATTCATACTAGTTTTTTCATGGGATTGGTTGATGATAAGAAACAGAAAAATACCAGCTCTACAGTACTTTTGTAATTGAACTTCCACCACTTAGTAAAAGAAAAGTTCCCAACCAGAACTCAGAGTAAAGCAAAGGCATTTGGGGATTTCGACTGGACTACGACGCACGTAAGTGTGACTTGGATGGACCTATCCTATCTCAGCCTCTGCTCCCTCCCACACACATACACACACAAACAAACACAGGAAGTGAGAAGAATCCAAGGTTCCACACACAGAGACAGCTCACCATAAAACATTCAGAGTTTTTTTAAGAAGTAACTTGGTTATCAAAAGTGAAAGTGCATTGAGCAGAGAGGTTTCCCAGGATCTATTTGTGTGGACAAAAGCAGAGGAGACAGAAGATCAGAACTTTCTTCTGTTTTTAAAGCAGATGGGGAGAAAAGTGTAATTGTCAAATGTAAAAAGAATTTCCCTCCTCATTGATCAGCTACAGATAAGAGAGGAAGTTAACATCTGATGACAAAAGGGAAATTCAGACTCACAAGGTAAATTATGTCATATCGGCCACAAGATCTGTTGCATAAAAAACGATGCTGTGGCACAGATACTGTACACATAAACCCACAAGAAATATTCTCTGGAAGCCTCTGTAGTGGGCTATTTGGATCTCTCTCTTCGCTGTGAGAATAGCACTCTCCTAATTGTGTGTACATGAGTGAGAAACTGTACACATGCGTCACTGCCAATAATCAAGCTCTCTGGCAGGATGCCGAGTATGAATATAAGAGGATTTGTGGACCTCGAGGAGGTTCAGAGCAAAGCAAATAAACAACTTTCGGAAGTGCTCGACACGATTCTTCTAAGAGATTCCTGTTACATCAGTCAGTTCACTGTTCCATCTGGGAACAGCAGCAGCTACAGGAACCTTTTTAGTTTTTCATTTCAAAATAACATTACAGAAGCAATGGAGTTAGTTTTAGTTGTAGCAAGTTAGTATGAGCAGCAGTGGACATAAAAGACAAAGAGCACCGTCTTCATCCATAGACAACCTGTGAGGAAAAGACATCATAGTACTGAGACCACTCTGATTTATGTACAGTATATTTCCATACCAACAATCTATCAAATGACGTGAAAACAATGTGATAAATTCTGACCTGCCGCTCATAGTGATGAACCTACAGAGATACGGAGCTTTGTACGGAGCTCTCATTGTGTCAAACAGCAGACAGAAGCAATTAGCGACTTGCTGGGTAGCATAGCGGAGCACATAGCAGTTAAAGACTAGATATTTCCCTCAGCAGTTGGTGGGGACCAAACACAGAGTTAAAAGTAAGTGAATATTGGACTTAAATTCATCAGGTGGCAAACACAATGATAATGTTGCTCTGTAACTAGATGTGTAAATAAGATATTTGGTAACATGTTCACCATATTAAGTTAAATAGTGAAGGTATTTAATGGTGTGTTCACAGCTTGTTTCTGCTGCCATCAAAATATGAACAGGTTTAAAGATATACCTTTTAGTGATTTTCGCCAAGTACGAAATATGTTATATTTACCAGCCGTTTTAGCTCCTTCAATGGTAATTATCTCACTTTAATCTTAGGTTCTCTTCATCAAATCGAGGGTATTAGAATAGAGAGCCCAAAGACAAATCTGTGACGGCCTGTGTACACAGGCGCCTGCCTCTGTTTTAAAATCTGGGAGCAAACTTGGAAAGATACATAATTGTTGGGATGTCTTTCTTGGCTCCTGAATGCTGTCCTATCAGCGAGCTAACGTTAGGTGGGCTGGCTAGCAAAGTTAGCTAACGATGACTCCCAAATCAGTTCGGCATTTCAGCGACAATGCTACTTTTAGCTAATTTGAAGTTTGGCTTGAGTCATTGGTCCACGCAGGTTCATTCAACACACGCTAGCCTATCTTTTCCTATGTTCTATATTCAGTCCATGATGGCAGTAAAGCTAATCGAGTTCATGTTTCTCACCTTTGTAAACAGACTCCTCTGCGGATTGACAGATTGTTATTGACAACCAAAGCATGCTGTGGCAAATGATCAGCGACAGGGTGGACTGAACCAACTCAAAGGGTGATCCTACATGTGTGATTATATGAACTAAGTAAGTAAAATGATCATTGATATGGGCTCCACTTGCTCTAATGCTCAGGCACCTATGACTGTAATAAAACTGACTTGCCTCGAGCTCATGGGACCACTGGAGGAAGTGACTAACAAAGACGAGGAAAGAGCTCTCCTGAAAGCCTGGACATGCTGTTCATCACATGGCATCACACAGAAATGGAAGTTTGGCAGATTAACCTGTCATGTGTTGAAAAACATCACAACTCATACTATAAACTCAAGCATTAGGGAACTTGTTTTTTTTCACTTTATCACTTTGTCAGGTGAGGGCATTTTTCTGGGGATATTTTCCACTTGGGAAATTTTTGAGTTAATTTGTTGATGATGAACACACAAGTAGTTTCTGTTTCTGTGAAGCTTGAGTGTTACAACTTTATCCTTTATCCTTTATTAGTGCTGC